TTCACTACAAGAAAATTACATATTAGCGAGGGACTATTCCCTCGCTATTTCGTCTCTAATCTCTCGCTAATCAGATTTGCGACGGAATAGTGATGAAATTGCGAGAGACCATTCCCTCGCTAAATACAGGTAGCTAATTAGCGAGGGATTTAATCTGTCGCCAATCCCTCGCAAAATCCGTCGCTAATCCCTCGCTAAGTTCCTCGCTAATTATATTAAGGATGCTTACCATTTGCCATACCATATTGAAGCTTGAGAGAGACAACAAGAGATAAAATAAAAAGAGAAAATTGTTTTTGTATTATTATTCAACCCACATATTACAAAGTAGCGTTCTATTTATTAGACTAATAGTTTCTAATAGACGTGGTTAGATTAGCTTCTGACAAAAACTATAACAACCTAATATACTAAAGAAATTAGTTATACAACTTAAACAAATAGGTAAGTAATACTAGTGCAAATCTGAAAAGTAAACTAAGAATTACAATAAACTAAGAATTACAATTGAATATACCAAAAAAAATAATTGGAAGATAAGGAGTAAAGTTATACTCCAATATCACTTAAATGAGAAACCATAGAGATGTAACATTCTAGTTACTTAAGTGAGTAAAACTCAATATACACTCAAGGACATATAAAAGGTTCAAAAAGAAAAATGTGCTCATTATTCGCTAGAAAAAGAAAATTAAGCATTTTTGGGAGAAAGAACCACATAAAAGCCTTCATCGTGAACTCATTCAAATTCCTTATTCACACCTTCTAGTATTAGATTAGTCATGAGTGACTAATTCACTAGTGTTACAAATCAAAGATTTTTACTACATTAGTTAGGCAAATTAAATAATATTTTTACCACAGTAAAATATTTCTTTTAACTCAAGAATGTTAGATTCTCACATATCTAGATACCTTCATGAAACAATTTAGTGGGAAATATATATGTATAAATAACATTTTTAGCAAACTATGTTTGTTATAAGAATGCTATTTTTTAAATAATAAATCAAACTTAGACTAACATTCTCAATTTCAAATTCTCCAAAAAGTAAAAATATTTTAGTCACTAAATGTCCAATTAAAATATGTTATTTAGTTAATTGTTCTTTTCCCACTCTTAATGCTTATTTTAGATGGGACACCCATAAATATGAACCCATGAGATTAATTAATCATTGTTACGAAACACTTATGAAATCATATTTTGAAAAAATAACTCTAATAAAACTTATTAATTAGAAATGATGTAGATACTGCCCAATGACAAAATCTCACATCTTAATGTAAATAACTTAATTAACTTTGCTAAGAAATTGATATTTTAGTTAAAAGATTAATACTTTTACACTTAAGAAATTTGGACTAAAATACAATTAGTTGTTGGATTAACAAGTTAATTTTTAATTGACAATTTGATGTTAAATATGAAAAATATTAATGAAATTAATACCCAACATTCTTTAAAATTGAATCAAAACTATTTTAAATCACTTTCTAAAATTAAAGTCACAAAAATACAATTTTTCTTTACCAAATCAACCAATATTTGCTTAATAATCAATCAACTTTAATTTATTTATTATTGCACAAGTTATTTTTGGATAAGATACATAAATTTTTATCCAATTTTACTATTTACGAATTTAGTACAATTTCCAAAAACTTCATAAATATTTTGCTCGATAAAACCGGCTTATAAATTACTTCAAAACTTATAATAACCAGAAAACATAAGTTATAAAAAAAAAAATGAAAGCTTACAACCAAATTGATTGAATAAAAGTATATTGGAAAATAAACTGATTAATGAATTTATAAATTTAAAATGATATGTTTATTTGATAATAAGATTGAGAAAAATATATGATAAGCATAACTGTTTCTAAATTGAAAAGGAAGAGAAATTTATTTAAGAAATCAAGAAGAATAAAAAAATTAAGAGTTTATTAGTTATAAATAATTTTGATTAACTTATAAATAATTATAAGCTCCAAATGTAAACTTTTATATCATTTTTTTTAATTAAAATAAAATAGTTTAGAAAATTTCTCAAATATTATCCAGTACACTCTTAATTGTTTTATGATTAATAATATTAGGATTAATAAGCTTAAATTGATGTCTAAATTACGTAAGATTAAAAAATATTTAATCTCTTTAACCGTAACTTTTTTTTTTTAAATACCTTAACTTGGTATAGTGATCTATAAAATTTTTTTTAGAAAATATACAATAATAAAGAATTATAATTTACTCTAAAATAAATAGTAAAAGGAAAGAGAAAGAAACTTAATAATTTTTTTTTAATGTTTACTCATAATTAGAGAGACATTATTGTGGTCACCATGTACAAATAATATTATTACAATAAGTAAGTAATTTACATGTGGCAATTAAATGTGAAAATGTCATTAAAATAGCTAATTAAATTTTAAGATAATAATTTTTATTTAAAATAATACATATAAATTAAAGAAAACTAAATATTTGATAGAATCATCATTACCCCAAATTACATATAGCTCCACAATGAATATGGTCACTCTACAATCTTCCAATGCAAAATTAACACTTATCTAAAATCGACAAAGTATATATACTTACCACAATGGAAACAATTACATGTTTCATCTGTAATGAATTTGACAAGAATAAACATAGCTTACGTGATTATTTTAAGGTGTTATATAATCATTTGTACATCTTTTAACTTTCATGTGAAATTTGTGGTAAGACAAATTAAACAATATATTTGTTTTATGAGTTTTCGTGATTTTCTCAGTTATGATTAATGTATTTATCTTACTTGGAATGTGTTACTGTGCTACGTAATGAAGATATGTGTCATTTCAACAATTTATGATGAGTTTCATATGAGGAAGATCATTATATGTGAAAAGTTGGAGGTGGTGTGATTTGTAGTGTATAAGCTCTATGAGAAGCTAGGAATGCTAAGTTATTTAATAACACACAACTTCATTACTAAGTATTATATAGTTAGTAAAAATCAAAACACGAAGTTAGTTAAAAAGTGAGAAGAAAAAAATGTTTAGTTATTCAGTGGACTCCAGGGTTATTAATCCCCTTGACTGGTTTGGGTATGGTTGGTTTAAGGAAAGTGAGGAGGGTGAGATTTAATGAAGAAAACATGATGAGCGTGTTGGAAGGGGTCACATTTCTTGAAATGCATGAAATATACAATGCATGATGGAAGAAAGAATATTATTCATATTGTTGAGGCAAACTACTTTAAGAAATGTGTCATCTTTGTGTGACCAACATAAATATACCAAGATTGATGAAATTGATCGAGTTATTTTACACCAGTAGCTTTCGATGTTCATTCACCTTTTTTTAACATCTTTGTAGTTTTATTTTAAATGTATGTATGTAAAAATTTGCAAATACTTTTATCAATACACTTGGTATTACTTAACTTTATTATTAATAGTTTCTCATCGACTATTAAAGAAAAGAAAAAGCTTATTTTTGACTTTTATCCTTTGTTTATTACAGATGACAATTGAGGGCTAAAATTTCTTGATATGTTTTAGAGTATGTAAAGAATTTAAATTAGAAAGAAAACGGAAATGAAATTATTTTATTTTTAAATTAGGATATATATATATATATATATATATATATATATATGAAATAAGATATTAAGCCTATGTTAATATAGTGTTTTATTACTTTTCTTTTAATCATTTCTCTACAAAATAAATATGCTAAATTATTATATTTTTACAACTATTTTTTAACAAAAGTATTTAGGAATTTTTAAGAATATATTTTTAACCTCCTATCTCTTTTGATCTATTTTTTTTTATTTTTGTTTATAAATTAAGTTTCTTAATATGTAAAAATTATTAAAATAAAGTAACATAATATCACAATATAATTTATTTATCATAAATTTTAAATATAATTAAAAAATATATTTATATAAATTAAAATTACAAAATAATTTATATATTTAAAAGTATTTATTTTTATTACAAATATTCAATTATAAAAATGAAAATTTATCTCTTTAAGTTAAACACATTAAAATACATAATTTTGGTAAATTACATACAATCACTTTGTTATAGACTCACTTTAACGTGATGTTATTTTGGAATGAAGGGTGCAAATCTTTTGTACATGAACCTAATTCATCTAATATACAAAAGTTGATAAGTTAAGACTAATTTTCGATAACTAAATGTGTCTTTCAGTCAAATATCATTTTAAAATACAAGAATCAAATCTTAGGAGTACTAAGTTGACTATACATCACATGATAGATTTTATAATCACTTGACTACAAGACTTAATTGATGGATCTTCATAATACTATAGTCACAAAGAAATAGTATTTATTTAAAATAAATAAAAAAAAACTGATTTTGACTTTCTTTTTATGATGAATTTCAATAAATATTTCTCATAGATATGGGTCAAAGCAAAATTAATGAGTGCATTTAGTATTGTAACCGTGGCAAAACCTTGAAGTATCGATGTTTTATTTGAGTTAATCATCTATACATTGTTAATGTAAAGTTTTTTATATTGATAACCAATCATATTTTTTAATAATGACATATTAGTTACTTATTTAATAAAATAATAATAAAATAAATAACTTTAAAAGATATGATTAGTTGCCGGTTACACTAACAACATAAGGATGATTAACTTATTTTATTTTATTTTTCTCAAGTTGCACAAACTTTTTTACTGATCAAATCATTGTTTGCCCAATCACAGTTCAGATGAGAGACATGCACCTAATTAAAATGTAAAAGAGGAACTATCTAAAAATAATAAAAGCACTAAAGTTGAAATAATATATAACAAAATAGCAAAACATGAAAATGTTGAGTTTTGAGCATTTAACCTTTCTGGAGTACTCTACCAAAATATTAGAGTCATGAGCACGAGAGCAGTCTACATAAACTCAAAGAAAATGATGAGACAGGGAAAAACCATTCCCTAACAAAATTAGAATAATAATGAAAAAGAAACAATAACCAAGTACCCTCTCTAATGAACAAATAATAACTCCGCTACAAATTAAATTACCCAGGATCCACCGCAGCGGTCCTACTCTAGCACCTACTAGATCAGCTGCCGGAAATCGGGTCCCACGTGTTGGTGGATTAAGTATTCGTCACCGTTGGATACATCAAACATCATGTTCTGGTGATGGTGGTGAGGTAGGAACTGTTGCTGCTGGTGCTGGTGCTGGTGTTGCTGGGCCCGCACCATCTCCTTCTGCCTTCGCAGCTCCAGCACCTTTCGGTGCGAGTTCGAGTGCTTCGTCAGCACGAACGTCGGGCTCGCTGCGGGCCTGTACTCCGGCACCAGCCTCCCCGACTTGTACCTCACGCCGCAGGCGTTGCACAGTGTCTTCGGGCCCATGGGCCCGGTCCGCCACTGTGGGGTCTTGTCCGTGGCGCAGTGCAGGCACCTGCGCCCGTCTCCCCCGCTCCCGTCGCCGCTGTCCTTCTTCCTCGGGCTCGCCTTCGCGGGCTTTTTCGCGCTGACCGGGCCCGGCAGGCTCGAGGTGGGGCTGGGAGCCACCACCTCGGGCTCCGTGGACGACGTCGCGGGGGACAGCACCAGGAGGCGCGAGGCCCAGTTGCATGGGGGTCCGCGGGACCTCTTGCTCCGGGCCCTGGCTGGAACCGACACTTCAGAATTGAATATCGGGCTGTTCCTCGTGGGCTCCGAGTGGAACCCACGGGCCTCTGATGCGTCGTCGTTTGGCCCCTTCATGCCCGATATCAGCTGCAACTGCTGCAGGTCCTCGCTCGAAAACGATTCCTCCACGAAATTCGAAAGCCATTCTAGCTCCGCTATGTCATCATACTGCTTTCAATTTTCAATCATAAAACCATTAATAAAAATTAACCCATTTATTAATTACATAATATAGGCCTACTCTCATCCAAATCTTTTACTCATATGCATTAATTAATTTCTTGCATTGCCAATCGCCAATGCTTTCACGTGGCCTTAATTTAGCATTCATTTCGTTATTTACGCCGGCCAATAAATTTCAAAGCTTAGAGATATTGTAATAATTGAATGAATTATTATTGTAAGAAAAATGGTTACTGGACCGTGGAATGTGCATAGTTCTGTTAGCGGGATAAGAAGGACAAACTGAGTTTCATACGTTTTTACACGAGTCAGCTATATTAAGGGAAAGTGTAAAAGGTCAAAGTGGTGTTCACGTAATGGAAGGATGCACATTGCTCGTGTGAGGCTGTGAAATGTAATGATTTTGTGGAGGAGTAATAACTAATAACTAATTAATATTTTATTATAATAATAATAATAATAATAAAAAACAATAGTAGAAGTTGATCATATAATTAATAATAATAATAATATAATAAAATGTACGTAGTATACCGGAACGCAGAGGTCACCGGAGAAATTGGCGTTGGAGAGGTTGCGGGTGGCGGGGTTGGGATCGGAGAAGGAGGAGGAGTTGCAGCTTTCAACGGCGGTGACGGTGGAGGAGTCGGTGGAGTTAACGGGGACAGAGTCAAAGGTGGCGTCGGTGATGACAGCATCATCGTGGTTGGAGAAGTCGAAGAGGTCCTCGACGATGAATGGGTCGGAGGAGTTATTGGTCTTGTTGGTGTCGAAGGGGAATAAGTCTGGGTGAACGGTGCTGGGGGAGAACTTGGCTGAATCCATGGTAACAAAAAGAGTTATTTGTTCTTTTATTGTGTGTTTGAAGCTAAAATTTTAAGGTTCTAGGTTAGGAGGGATGAGCCAAGTGAAGAAAATTAGTGAGTGAGAAAGTATAGGAGTTTGAGGCAAAAAGTGAGAGAGCATGTGGTTTTGAGTGGAGACTGGGAGAGAGAGAAAAGGAGAAGGGGGTTTATTTGCGCTTGAAGGGGACAAGCGACACCTAAATTAAGGGACTTTTTTTTTCCTCGTTTTCCATTTCTCTTTTCTTTTTTTTAACCAAGGAGAAAAAAGTCTCCTGCCGCAAAAATAAAGTTAAAATATTAAAAAAATAAATAAACGCTTTAATTGAGTTAAAAGAATCGAAACAAATTTAAGATTCAAGTTACTTTCATGCCCTTTTTCTTTACGGGTTTTCTCCTCTTGTAATAAAAAAACAATTTTACAACTTTGTCCTAAGATTCAGACCATGTGCTAGAGTGGTCAAATATTTAAGTTTGATTAAGAAGAAAAGTATGTACGTTAATATATTGTACCAGAGAGATTTACAATTCAACTGAAATTATAATAATTTTAAATTCTTTTATCATATCTTTATATTAATTTTTTAAACTTATTTTGTTAGATAAATATTAAATACTTTTTTTAATATATTTTTATGATATTAAAAGCAATTTTTTTCATTTATTACATTTTTATAATGTAATAGAAAAAAATTTATGAGAAGATTATATAAATTTATTCTTGAAATCTAAAGGTTATTAGTTTAAATAGTTCATCAACAGTTGTATTTCTTAATGAATTGGTGGAAATTTGATCTCTATTTTAAATATAGAGTCATCATTGAACATACTAATTTATTTTATGAGAATCGATCCCGTAGAAAGAAATTACATTTTATCGGATAAAAAAACTTACGTTTTAAATAATATTAGTCTATTATTTTTACTTGAACAATAGAATCTCGCGGTTAGCAAATATTCAATTCTAAACTAATTGGAGTTTTAACATTTAGAGAATGTTTTGAAAAATTTATTTTTTACTTTTCAAAATAATATTAATTACTATCTTATCTTTACTTATAAGATTTTTCAACTAAATGACATTTTTAATAAAATTAGTTAATTTAATTAAGAGTATTAAAATTATCAATAAATTAAATTAAATTTTCAAAATTACTCATAACATCTCATAAATTAATTTTTTTTTCTCTTTCTATTTATCTATTTATGACCAAATTAATTAATATTTAGAAAGAAAATAATGACAAACTAGACAAGAGAGAAATTATGTGTTTATTTATTTTTTTCAATCTTAATAATAGAGACATTTTATCCATAATTTTCAAGTATTTATTTTTATTTGTATCTAAAATAACTGCTAATTAAATAAGGATAGCTTAGAGAAAATATAGAGTGACATAAAAAAGATAGTTTTAATTTTTTTCTTTATAAATTATATATTCAATTATCACAAATAAAATTGTATTTATTGAAAAAGTAAAATTATTTTAGTAAAAATAAAATTGTATCGAAAAGTAATAATAGATAAATGATAACAACACTCTCTTCCACACACTTTTTTTGAACATTCTTTTTAATTTGTATCGAATCTTATTTAATGACTTTCTTATTTTATACTATTCATTAAATTCTAACAAATAAAAAATGAATGTGTTAAGAAAAATGCATTAGAAAATATATTTTTAACACTCTTATATTATTGTTACTTTTGATTTACATTAAAAAAATTTAAACTACTTAAGAAATGATTTGTGCTTCCTATAATACAAACATTAATGTTAAGATTCCAAACTTGGGCATTTCCAAACTCATAGTACTGAGCAAGAACATGAGTTTGGTGTCACTGAAAACTAAAAATATTAGTGTGAATGGTTACATGCACTTCAATTATTTTGGCCATTTGCTTAAGATATTTGCACCTACTATAACTTAAGGTAGAAGCAACTTAGAACATCAATCTCTGATGCACGTGGTATGTGATGATTATGAGGAGAGTTGCCCAAATTAAACTAGAAAATGAAACAATGAGATGTACGCACGCAATGTAATCATTTTCTTGTTAATTGCTCAACACCTCAATGCAAGGTAGCACATCCAAGTATCAAAGCTTGGATTAGAATATCAAATTGGTCACGAAATTAAAAGGTGCAAGGGTAAAAATGATAAACACATTTCCATATTTCAAATTCAATATATAATATATTATAAGCATATTTTTTTTAATCCAGTGTTGGCATGAATTAAACATAGATAAAAGAATTTAAACCTGAGGAAGCGATGTATTTATCATCTTTTTCCCTTTGGTTTGATCTTTTTATGCAATTATCATCATCAATGTTTTAATTTTGTTTCACAAAAAAAAATGCTTAATTTAGATGAGTCTTAATTTCTATAACACTATTTCTATATTTTAGTAAGTTATTCCTAGAGCTCTTATTACTCAAGAGGATTTTTGAAAGGGATCGATGGATAGTTTACATATTTAATAATATTTTAATTAATTAATATTTTGGATGATATGGAGAGTAAAAGAAGAAAAGTGTGAATGTGATGTTATATAATTTCAATGTGCCTTCGAAATCGGTTATCACTTTTCACCTTACAAATTTATGAGCGAGTCAGCGGTTAAAATAATTTGATTTATAGTTCACCTTTTTAGGACTCATGTGAAACATAGGCAGTTACCACAAGTTAGACAAAACATATTGACCAAAATCACTTTAAAAAGAAAAGGACAACGTTTGAATTTAAAAATTGAAAAGAAATAAAATAACTTCACTTGTACACATATGATTTATGATCATGTTTTAATTTTTATGCTTGGAATTGATATATATATATATATATATATAGATAAATAGATAGATAGATAGATAGATAGATAGATAGATAGATAGATAGATAGAGAGAGAGAGAGAGAGAGAGGAGAAGGGCTCAAACGACACTGATGTAACTTTTACTAAGTGTTACACCACTTAATAATTTTATATTAAATGTGAATTTTGAAAATTCAACCGTTAGATTGAAAGTTCATAT